CCTGCGCTGCCCTCGGTTCGGGGAAGGCAGCGGCCGTTGTCGCTGCTGCTTGTTGTTGATCTGAATGGGGAATGAGTCATTTTCTTGGAAAGCCCAGCAGTGCTGCGCTGGGAGGGTTCTGGGTAGAATAGGAAGAGTGTTGAGCCAAGCTCTGCTCGGGGAGGGGGAGAACGAGACTGACGTGGGGCTTTTTTAATGCAGTCGTTAACAGGGAGGTGTGTGGAGGGAGGTCTGATTAGGAAAACGTGGCAGGAAAAGGCTTAATTTTATCAGGGGAGAGGGGGGGAGCTGGATTGCCACGGCTTCATATGATGTGGCCGCAGCGGGAGGGAGCGCGGAGGGAGGGAGGGAAGGCGCAGTGAGGTGGCTGGTGCGTGGGTCACAGGGCTTGGTGGGAATGTTTGCTTGGAGAGAGAGCGAGCGTGAGTCACTGCTGGTGCACGAGCTTCCTGGCTGGCCCCGCTCCCTCAGCCCTGCTCTTGGGTCTCTTGCAGATGAAAACCGGCCCCTTTGCCGAGCACTCCAACCAGCTCTGGAACATCAGCGCCGTGCCCTCCTGGTCCAAGGTCAACCAGGGCCTCATCCGCATGTACAAGGCAGAGGTGAGCACCGTGGGCAGGGGGAGGCTGCTTGGCCACACGCCTCCTCCCTTCCACTTCAGTGTGGGTTCAGCTCTTTTCTTCTGCTGCTCCTTGGCGTAGGGGTGCTGTCGCAGCTGGTTGTTACCCTGTACTGAATGTGGCTTGGGAGCCCTTGGTGGTTCAGGTGCTGCTGGCTAGAAGGAGGCTCCTGCCCACCTAGTGTCTGACCCAAAACCAATCCCAAGATGGACAATCCTTGCAGACATGGCTTGTCCCATTTCTTGACGTATTGCAAGTTGCAGGTCTCCAAATTGAGGTCTGTGTCTTGACCTGCTCGTCCTTCTGGTGCCCACACTATTTTACCCACTCAAGGAGGCTTAGTTTAAACTACTATCCCATGTTTCAAGAGCCCCAGGCTGAATGCTTCCTACTGATCCCCGTCCCTGAGTCCCATCCGTGCAGTGTGCCGGACCAGAGACCACAGCCATCTCCTCGGCTTGCCAGCCCTCCAGCCACCGCAGCTCCTCTGGCGCTGCCCCAGCAGGCTTTCCTGGCGAACCTTGACCTGGGGAACCAGACAGTTTTGGCTCTGCCTTATCTCTCCTTCCTGCTCGAGCTAACCCTGAGCTTGAGGAAGCAGGGCAGGAACCGTCACATCTGGGCGTCCGGAGGCAGCATCTCTTGGTAGGAAGGATGGGACCGTGCTGGCTCTTGCAAGGAGTCACCGCTGGAGGAGCAGAGATGGCAGAGCAGGGATGGCACAGCTCCTTGGTGCACCCAGTGAGACCAGTGGGGCTCGAAGGAGTTAATCCTATACCCTGTTGCCTCTGCCGTGCTCCTGTAGCTGGGACATATGGCAGAGGCTCAGCAGGCAGCTCCACTCAGGCCCAGCGCACAAAGGGGTTAACTGTGCCGAACTCTGCGCGCTCCCTCCCCCAGCCTTTCCTCTGAACTGCACATCCTGTGTTTAGGTTCCAGGCCACATACCTCTCTAATCTGTGAGGTGTCACTCCCAGGCTCGCTGGCTCCTTCCGCCCCCAGCTCGGCTTTCCTCCCAGCCTCCAAAGAGGAGAAGTGGGGCTGGGGGTCGACCCCCTCGGCTGGCTGCTCCTCGGAGGGGTGCCCCTGGGCTGCCCCTTGGGGAGCGCCTCTGCTCACAGCTCATGCTGCCTGCTGGGAAACCCTGAGCTGGAGGTTCTGGTGTGAGAGCCGGGCAGTCTGCGGGGGCTGGAGGGAAGACTGGCGCTGGGAGTGCTGTTAAAGTGAAACACGGGTCCCCTAAAACTCAGAGCCTGAGCGTGGTCTGCTGCCTTAAGAGCCCTGCCTTGGTCCTGGCTTTCCTTTGGACCAGTTCCTTCCCGCACTGTTCGGGTATTCCCCTGGCACCTCACGTACCCCACAGTGTTGGGGTGCTCCCCCCTGGTGCCCCACACGTGCTGTATGGCTGCTCCCATCTCGTGCTCCGCGGACTCTGCCGGAGGAGCTTGGCAGCGACGTGCCCAGGGTGCAATGTGCGTGTTCACGGATGTCTTGGGGCCACTGTGTGCTGGCAGGTGTACCTGGCCTCCTGGGGACAGTGCAGCCCGCTCCAGAGAGTGGGAGGTTCTCTGGCTCTCGTAGGTGTACCCAAGACATGGTCTTTTGGAGGCCTTGGTCTGTTTTGAAGAGCAGATGACGTTCTGTGTGGAAATGCTGGATCCAGTATTGGTGGGTTTCTAGAATATCCAGAGGTGTAGCTGTGGCAAGGGGAGAATGCAAAAACTGCTAGGAGGAGAAACGACACAAATTTGGGCTAAGGTGTAGAAAACATTGAGTCAGCCGGAGTGTTTTAAAGTTGTTTTTTTTTCCTCAAAGAACATTTGTGGAACTTAAAGGACTGTTCCTAGGCACGTGATCCTCCCACAGCAACATCTTCTCCTGGCACTGCGGGGTGCCTGTGTGCCCCTGGGTGGGCAGAGGAGAGCAGGGACTCCTGCTGGACCCCTCTGGAGTCCTCCCTGGTCCTTTGTGTCTGCTTTGGGGCATCCCCCACCCCGCTGCTGGCTCAGCTGGTTCGTGCCTGGCTTGGGCGATGAGAGGAGCATGGACAGGGCCGGGTGGCTGGGCAGAGCTTTCAGTTCTGGTGTGCCTGGCCATGCAGGTTTTACCAGCATTTGCAACTGGAGGATCTCTTTGACTGATTTTCTGGGAATGACACAATGTTCAGGACTTCCTGAGGCTTCATCCTTTGAAAACTGAATCCTCCTGAGTGTTTCAGGCTAGGCACCCACAGTCACTGCTGAACATCTTGTCTGTTTGCTGCTGGCTCCTGAACCAAGTTTCTGCTCAGTGTACCCAGATGTGCAGCCTTCACCATCACAGCCTTTCTCCAGTTCGCCACTGACAACGTTAGCAGAGGATAAATGAACCAACAGCCCCCACGTGCTGGCATGGATCTTCATCCAGCTCAAGGCAGGCAGCTTCTGTGGCAGAGCTCAGAGCGTGTGATAGTAAAGAGGGAAGGTTTGGGGTTGTGGTGTTGCTTTTTGTCTGACAGGCTAAGGTGAGAGGAAGACTTTTTTTTTTTTTTCCCCCCTTTCCTTCTCCCTGCCCCTCTGATCATCCGTTGCAATTAGATCAGGAGAATTCAGGACACTCGGGTGGAGGCTCCAGCTCCTTAACACGTCTGGGGTGTCTCAGAACTGCTCGGTGCAGACGGCACTGGCCACGATGAAGTTTCGAGTGGAGGCAGCAGTAGAGTGAAGGGGTCACTTGCTAGAAGCAAACCAGGAGAAATCAAATGCTCACTCACAACCTGCTCTCACTTGGTAGGAGTGGGGCAGTCCCCAGACCTGGTTCATTTAAGAAGCACTTTGGACTCTGTCTCTTCTCTGTCCCCTCTATGGGATGACTTTAGACAGCCACCAGAAGGCTCAGGTGCGTTCACGTGGCTGGTAGCTCCAGTCTGGATCCAGGCACTCCAGGGCGCTTGCTGCAGGGTCTGTGGGTGGGCAGTACACTGAAGACTGTGTCTTCAGCTCTGCGTGTTTATGAAATCTCAAATGTGTCTATTTATAATATAAATATAATGGGTGAAGACGCGTTCACTTGGAAGTGCAAGGGCTTTTCTTGTTCTCTCCATCAAAGGCGAGTGAAGAAGTCGACAGAATAGAGTGTGGTTAAAGCAGCAGCCTTGATGTTTTTCCCCTGAGCCTGCTTTTGAGTCTCCTGACCTTTCCTTCTCTGCTGCAGTCAGTCGGGAAATACTTTCCATTGTAACTAATCTAGTCCTAGTTCCATCTTTAAAGGTTGGACCCGATGCATGTTTCTACTTCTCACTTGAGTCCTGAGCAGGCCTTCAACATGATCGAGTTGATGGCAAGAAGAAAATAAGCCTGTCCCCTCCATTGAGCTGGTGTTGGCTGAGTTTCACCCACAAGTGATGCAAGGAGGGTCTTGTCTCTTGGCACCTCTAATAATCCAGTAAATCCGTGCTAGTCCTGCTGGATAGAGGAGGAGAAGTTTCTCTACTTGTCTGTTCTTGGGCTGGCGATGTGTTAAAGTGGAATGGATGTGCGTTCTTCCCACTGATGGTAAAGTCTCTTCATCCAGAGCCCAAACCAGTCTGGTCTTCCTTGGGACTCCTTGGAGCTGTTGGGCACTGGACAGCAGGGATGTGGGGGAAGAACAGACAGACATGAATATTGGGGATGTTGGCAGCTAGAAATGTCAGCCCAGCAAGCTCACTAGCCATGCCCAGGTGGATGAGTTCCCGTCACAGCACAGGGGTTGTCTCCAGCCCTTGTTTGGCACAACCGCTCATGGCTAACGCAGGTGATGTTCGTGTAGACGCAGCTCCTGGGTTGGTTGCACGCGCTGCCGAGGTTGGTGTGTCTGGAGGTGAGTCTGCTCTGTGCTCTGGGTGAGTTTTGGGCAGTCTGAATCCGCAGTGACTCAAAAAAAGAGAGCTCTGAGTGGCTCTGCCAGGCGAGTGCTGGAAAACTTTGACGTGGTTACTGACCGCAGTCACCGACCTTCCTGCCCGGGCGGGATGTGAGCAGCAGGGGCTGTGCCCTCGCAGCCTGACTTAGCAGAGCCTGGCTCAGCTGGAGGAAGCAGCTCTGAGCTGAGCTGCCTTGTAGCAGATGTATAGACTGATGTGTGCTCCGCCCTCTCTCTGCCGTTACTCTGCAATGGGGGGGGTGGGAATGTGCATTGTAGCTGCAGAATGGTGCCTCGAACCCAGAGCGTGTCCTTGGGAGGAAGAGTCCCTTCCGCGGGTGGTTTCTGCAGTTCCATGGTGTTGCAGGGTGAAGCTCTTCGGAGAGATCAGCTCGAGCAGGGAGAGGTGGTGAGAGAGAAAGCTGCTGACATCAACATGCCTCTCCTGCTCATGCTCCAGGCCTGAACTTCAGCAAGCAAAAGGCTCTGGTTGAAGGGAAGGGGATGGGGATATGAAGCGTTACTGGGACTGGTCCCTCTGCCTGCAGCTGGGCTGAGCAGCCCCGAGCTCGCTGCCTCCTGACCCCAGCGGCAGGATGTCTCTCTGGCTGCGCGCGTAAGGTGGAAGCGTCTCCTGAATTCACCCCTCTTTATCTCTCCTCCTGCAGTGCCTGGAGAAGTTTCCTGTGATCCAGCACTTTAAGTTTGGCAGCCTGCTCCCCATCCAGCCTGTGACGTCCTAAGGAGCCCGCAGGAGGAGTCGAGGCAGCGGGGGTGTAGCACGGCGCTCTTCCTCCTCCCTTCACCCCCTCCTCCTCACCTTGCCCGTTACACCCAGCCCATCCATTCCTGCACATCCTCATCGGCAACCACACATCCAAAGCACTCGCCGGCCTTGCACGGGAGACGGGACCCGTTTTTACATCCCCAGCATGGGGATGTCTCGCCAGCGACCAAGCCGGGGCTGTGTCTCTCCGCTCCGCTGTGTCCCCGGGCAGTGTGACTCCACGGGCGGCTCTGGGCATGTGAATGGGGTTTGAGCAGGGGCTGCCTTGCAGCGAAGGCCCTCTGTTTCCCTTCCGGGGAGGAAGGGGGTGTGGAGGGGAGGAAGGCACGTGTGTATGTGTTGGGCAGTGAGAACTGCAATTTCCCTTTTTGAATTTCATTGAAGTTTCCTGTTGCTGTTTGATTTGGGAAACTGTTGTGAGGGGTGAGATACGAGCCTGCACGTGTGTGTGCAGGCAGCCGCCTCTGCTTGCATGAGGGGGGCTGAAATGGGTGGAGGAGGTTGTGGGGAAGGTCTGGGGGTTGCTGGAAGCCCAAGGTGCCATCTGTCCCTTATTCTGGGTAAGGAAAGGCCCCTCCCTCCATCTCTTCTGCAAGGTTCCCTGGGTCTTCCTTTCCCACTCCTGCCTCTTTTCTCGGGTGAAGCTGGGAACCAGCTGGGGGTCTGAGCTGGCTCTGGAGCCGGATACAAGGTCCCTGGAGGGACCCGGCTCTGTGGGAACAGCTATGCAAAGATACTGCTCGAGGCTCCCTCGTAACGGGCACAAAACCTCATGCGTTCATCACTGGGTCCAACCTGCCCTTTGTGCTCCCCAATTCCTCCTCCGTGCTTTGCTCTCCTGGGGCTGGGCTGGCCTCGGTGGCACAAGGTGACCGTGGTTGCTGCTGCTTAGTCCTAAATTGTAGCGACGGCCCCATAGCAAAGGGATTTCCCCACGAAGCAGCATGTTCCCCAGCTCTTTTAGGGAGCATCCTTGGAGCAGAGGCAGCGTGGGGGTGCAAGCATGCAGCTTTACGTGCATTTATATACTTCACGCTGGAAACAAAAAGCATAAGGAGCCCAGGACAGCGGGTTGTACCTGGAGAAAGCTCTTTGTCATTCCCTACTGCTGTTGCTGGGCTGGACCTCAGGCAGAGGGACCACGCTTCCAGTGCCACCAGCATCTTGAAGGCAGGTGAAGGAATGGGGACATGGTCCAGACCATGCCAGCAGCATCCCTGGGAGGGCAGAAACGGCCAGTGCTGGGTTTGAGATGAGCTGCCTGTTTCCACAGGGCTTGACCAAGGTGGTCCACAACTTGGCAGCTGGAGAGGGGTTGTTTTTTCTTGGAGTTTCCCAGGCCGGGTGTAGGAGGGACAAGGGGACAGCAGGGATCCTTTCTCTGGCTCCCACAGACTGCAGAGGGGAGGTGGGGCTGCCCCCAGCCAGGCTGCTTGGCTGTCACTGCTGCGCTGCTTTTCTCTTGGAGGGGGGGAAACAACTGCTTGTGAATTTTTTTATTTTTCACTATTTTCTTTTTGACAGACCTACTCTCTCCCTTTTGTAAAAGCTCTCACAGGCACTCAGGGGAAAGAGAGCAAGGCTAAATTAAGAGGGAGGGAAACGCGGGTGTGTGCAGAGCTGAAGCAGAGGCTTCTGACCCGGCTGTTCCTGGCTCAGCCCTGGGCGGGAGGGGCCAAGGATCTTTTGACCTGCCTGAAACAACTCTGTAAACTTGCATTTTAGATGAAAATGGAAGACTGGAGCTAAGTCTTGTTTTACTCCTACATGGGATGTGTGTTTTGTCTTGGCTTTCCAAATGCATCCACTCCGGGAGTGGTGCTGGAGCTCTGGGTGCTTGCTGGGTCTTTGTGGGTCCCTCTCTGGTGGAGCGGTTTAGCAGCCGGCACCTGGATGGGAGACCCCAGGCACCTCCGCCTGTGCCCCCTCGCGTTGCTGTGTGGCTTTTGGCAAGTGTCACCGTGCTTTAAATGGCTGTGGAACATCTGGCTGAGCTAAAGCCCCTGGTTTCCCAAAGCTCCGCAAGAGCCGGGAGCACATCTCTCCTGGTCGTGTTATGGAAATGAGGCTCCGTGCAAAAGGATGGGTGGAAATGTTGACGTCCGTGCATGGGAGGGACACCAAGAACGTGAAATGCAGCACCAAAAAAGGGTGGGGAGGTGTTTCCTTCCCCTGCAGCTGCAGCCGCGGTGTCCCTGGGCTGGGGACCTGCTGCGGAGCTGGGAGCAGGCTCACGTAGAGCTCTGTGTTTCGTGCCTGAGTCCGCACGTCTGTCCTAGCAGGGATTTTTGGACTTCAAGCAGCTCATTTTTGTTTGAACCTTATCAGCCCGCTTGTGATGTGCCCCTGTTGTGTGGCAGTGAGCTGCTTGCCTTCCTCGGACCCACCAACATCCATCGCTGGCTCTTGGGGCTCTGCTCCTTCCCCGGGGGGTCCGCACCCGCGGCAGCACCAGGGCTGCTCGGTGTCCGGCGCAGCGCTCCCTCCCCCATTGGGGTCTCATTAAAGTCTCTGTGTTTCATGCCGGTGCCTGTGTTGGTCTCTCTTGGGGGTTTGCTCCTGCTGTGGAAGCAGAGCCGATGGCTGGAGCACGGGGAAGAGGCTGTGTGGGGCACTTGTGCAAGGGGTTGATTTGCACCAGAACTGACTTGTTATTTAGCTGCACAAAACTAAATCCAGGCTGGCTGTGTGTCCCTCCTAGCTGTCTGTCTGTCCTATAGTCTGTTTTATTTATTGAACTTCTTTGCTGTGTCCCCCCCCTCCCTCCCAGCCTGGCTTGGGCGGTAGGTGATGCGCGAAGCCTGTTCCCAGCCCCGCCGATACCTCCTGAAGCTCAGAGCCTCTCATCACCAAAGGACGTTCGAACCTTGTTTCGAGGCAGGGTGAGAACTGGAACCTTTTTCTTCAGATGTTTTTCCTGTCCTGCTGTAGGTGCTGACTCAGGACTTCCAGCATCAGTTTAGCTCAGCAGCTTTGGTGGATTTATAGAGAAAATTCTACCTGGAGCTTCTCGGGAGCAGTTGGAGCTCTAGCGTAGATGTGCTTCGCAAATGCTGGTTTTCCTGTCGCTGGGTTGTATCTTCTCCGTCAGCGCCGGCCAACTGCGGGTGCGTGTTGCTAAAAGCGGCAGCAGCGCGGAGGGATGGATGGGGAGCAGAAATGTCATCTTGGATCACAGATGTTTTCTTTGAAGGCACTCGAATTTGTCTCGAACGCGTCTCTTGGTGAACATGACGCGCAGTGCAGGGGAAGCAGACGTCGTGTGGGTTTCTCACCATCTTCCTGCTCAGCCCACTGACCGAGCCAGTGTTTTTAAAATTCAGTTTTCAAAACTGGATCCTTTGGGGTTGCAATATGTAGGCTGGTTCTTGTTTCTGTTTAGCAGCTCTTGCCTTTACATGGGGCACATTTTGCGAATCACCGTCAACCTTCCCCCGTTTCTTTCTTCTCCAGCCTCCTTTATAAATGATCATTGGTGGCAGCCAGGAATAAATGAAGTAGAAGCTAAGAGAAGCAGCCTCGTGCAGTGATAGTAGTAAAAGAATAAAAAAATTGAATGTTTCACACTGTTGTTGCAGTATTAGCTTGTCCCTGGTGTGCGGCTCGGTTCCCTGACGTAGTGCTGGTTCCTGCTGTTAAATAGACGCAGAAGCCCCCGCTGCAGGACCAGCGTTTGTTGAGCAGCAACGTCTGAGCTGGCAGTTCCCAGGGTGATGATGTGCTTCGGACCCCAAGGAGCTGCTGTTGAACCTCACAGGAGCCCTGGACGCTGCCCCGTGTCCCTGCAGCCACGCTGATGTCCTTCCCGGGAGAGGGAAGGAGCAGAAAGGGGTGGGAGAAGGTGGGCTTGGTGGTTAGCGGTAACTGCGACCGTAACCTGACCTTGCCCGCTGCCAGCCTTCTGAGGCTGAGAAGCTCGTGGAGATCTTGTTGCTGCTTCAACATGGGCCCTCCTGGCTCAGACGCAGAATTTAACGAGGCTTTTGAAGGTAATTTCATGACCTAAGAGCCAAGAGGAGAGATCTTCATCCTTCATCGTTGCTTCCCCTTCAGTGGATGAGCGCTCTTCCCATTGACATCGGAACCAACTCCTTGAGCGTCCTGTGGACAGGCATCTTTTACTCATCTTGTAAAAATTGTGACAAACTTCAACCTGGGATGAGCCAAACTGACAAAGGGCTGGGCTGCCTCCCCGTCAGACTGAGGGAGGGCTGAACCATGGTGGGCATCTTCAGCTTGGAGACAGGCTCGTTCTGAAGAGAACGAGGCTGGGAGCAGGCTTCGGGGTGGTGGGGTGGAGTGGGGTTTCTGCTTGCTCCAACCAGCCTGGGCTTGGGAGCCTCTCCACCCGCAGGCTCTATGCAGGGCGTCAATACAGTTGTTGCTAAAATTGGAACAAGTCGCTCCCCGTGTTCCCAGTTGTGACTTTAACACCGATAATAAATGACATCGCCATCCCTCAGCAGAATGTGGGGTCCTTGATGCTGGGGGTGTGCACACCCGGGCAACAGGAGTGGGGTCCGGCGGGATTGGCACTGTGAGGCACCAAGGTGGGGGTTTACGTCCTCCTGAGCACATACTTACTTCTTCTTGTAAACACGGATTAAAGATGTGCTGGAGGATTTGCTGAGGCTGTAAATGGAGGAAGGAGAAAAGCAGAGGAGCAGTTCCTCATCAGTTCTTCTGTTTCTACAACACCTGGGAGAGAGACGCCCAAGCGGACTGCACTGTGCAAGTCAAAGTACCCAAATTAGCTATTTTATCGTGAATTCCTCCCAGTTTTATGGGTGAAAACAGCTTTTTTTGAGAGGGTGAGGTCTACGGTGCTGGACCCCAGTTGGGTAGCTGCAGACCGACCCCTTTGTGTGTGCAGGGCTAACGGGGTGCAGCAGCACTGCGCTTCCGCACCCAGCGTGTAGACACAGCGCTTTGGGTTCAAGTGGTAATGATGCTGAAAGAAATCTACGTTGTCCTATCAGTAAAAGAGCAAAGCATGCCAATATTCCTAAGAGCCAATATCTCCTCTAATGGCTTCAAACTGTGTAAAACTGGCTGGTGTGGTGGTTAGAAGGAAATTCCAGCTAGAGTGTAAGATACTGGCGCGTGTTCTTTTATTGGGTTTTAGCTGATCGCTGAAAGCGGCTGCTCTGCAAAGCGTCTTACTGCTCCGTGTTCAGAGCATATACCTTTAAAAATAT